AGATCAGCATGAGAGCGTGAGATTTGGTCAAAATGCGTGAGTCTCACGGTCAATGCGTGAGAGTTGGCAGCCCTGTAATACTAATAGCCTTTAATAGCTTTATTCCTCACAAGTCAGCACTCCTGGCTGTACAGTTTGAATTATTGTGGCGTGCGAACGCGTGACGTCACCGGATATGTAGGCAAAACACATGGCAGCTATGGTGCATGTATATATACAATACCGGTGACGTCACGCGTTCGCACGCCACAATATTTCAAACTGTACAGCCAGTAGTGCTGACTTGTGAGGAATAAAGCTATTAAAGGCAAAAATACATGGTGTAAAGTTGTGGAAAGTGTTCAAAAAGATAGGTGAGATGTCCACGTAGATAGATAAGTGTTAAAAAGCCTGATTATTTTGCATTTTGTAAAGCGATTATTCGTGGGAACTGTTGCAGCAGCGAAATCTAGCTGAAAATGTTCTATAGCCCTGCGGCAGTCAATGTACACGGGCTATAGTACTAGAGCTAACGTGTACCCTAACCCTAACAATAAAACACTAACCCTAACCCTAACCCTAGCCCTAAACCTAACCCTAAACATACCTCATAAAAATATAAACATAATACTAAACAACCTAAAACTACCTCCTAATTATATAAAAATATAAACATAATACTAAACAACCTAAAACTACCTCGGGTACATATCTGTAGTACCTGATACAACAACGACCCCATCTGCTCTAGTAACTATTTCCTGCGTACAGTTGCCGCTGGCCGCTGGCCGCTGGCCGCTGGCCGCTAGCCAGCGGCAACTGTACGCGGGCTATAGGCTAGTTACTAGAGCCAAATGATTCTTAGCTCTAGTAACTATAGCCCTCCGCTCCGCCGCAGGGCTATAGAACATACTAGGGCAATTTCCAGAGAGTAAGCAAAGACAACTTTTTTGCGGTTAATAACTTCTTCGGTCTGCCAAATAAAGCACATTCTCTGCCGCACAAATGTCTTAAGTTACTACAAACACTAAAATTAAACCGCAAACTAACGCTTAAATGTTGTACTTGCTATATTACTCGTCGACAAAGATTGTTTACCAACTTGTAACTGTCATTTTTCGCTAGTGGTGCTAGTAAGCGGGCACAATGTATTTCCAAGTGGAGGGGTGGGCAGGTTGCACGCGGTTACAAACCGCCATTTTTCGTTGGGCAGCGCTAGCGGGGTTTGCAACCGCAAGCAACCTGCCCACCCCTCCACTTGGAAATACATTGTGCCCGCTCACTCAATGGCAGTTACAAGTTGGTAAACAATCTTTTCTATGTATATATATATACAATGCATCTCTATTATGTACTCTTGATACTAGTATACTGGTATCTGGGACTGAAAATAGGGGGTTTTAATTATTTATTTATTGATTTTGATTTTTGCGTGAGAAATTCAGAGATGAGCGTGAGAGCGTGAGAATTGACCAAAAGACGACATGTCTGTGCTCATAGTCGCATGCGCCGAGTCCGCTGTTGCTGGCCAGTATCACAACTTCAGCACAACCTGAACTGTGAACATGCACTGGACCGTTGCCGTTTCAATAATAAAATGATATTGATATTATTATCTATAGTAAAGAAACACAATTTGCATTTACTACCAAAGTATTAGTGTTTACTATTCTCTTTTGCATATCATTACAGGGTTCTCCCCAGGATGAAATTCAAACAGGGGGGAGG